CATCCTTCCTGTTTCCTGCTGAATGGAGAGATTGAGTTGTTAAACAAAACTGTCACAGACACGCCAGTCACGTTATATGAAGGCAGGTTATGACTTCATTTGTTAGTTTCCTTGTTTTTAATGACTTAACTGTATGGAATTTAGCTTTTGTAAAGGAGAGTGTTCATTGAGGGATTGCAGGCACGACATGGCCTAAATGTGCCAAAAAACTCAAAACTCAAACTCAAAATGGGAATCTGGAAGACTGACAATAGATCATGAGACAGAAATAGATTCTCCTGTAAACATTTCATTCAAGAAACAATTTACATATGATGACATGGGTCATTTAGATAATATAATATAATATACAATATAATAGTTTTTCATAAACAATGTATCAATTGCTAGATTTTAGCATGAAAATATATATTTACTGGCTCCTTACACGCTTTGGATTCATTTCTGACAGCAACAAGCTAGCTAATCATAGTTCTTTGAACTGAAATATTTTTTCCATCTCAACTCAAGAGAACATTAAGAAACTAAAAATAGAGCATTCATAACAAGCAAATATTGACATTTGATTAAAGTAACACCTTTAGTTACATCAAAAACTCTTAAGGATAGAAGACTTTAAAGAAGCAATTATACATAAAACACTGAACCATAATCTTCAAATACAAAAGTAAAACATGATAAAAAATAATTAGACAAAAAGGCACTTTTCTTGTTCCATATACTGGGATAAATTTTTACTCCTTCTTCCCTAGAGATATTGGAGCACAATGAAAAACACAATTTGATCCTCACTATTATTTCAATTATTAATACTCTATTAAATTATACATTTATTTATTGTCTAAATATTGGTGCAAAATGTATTGAATTAGAAAACTTTTATATCTGTTTCATAACTTTGATTTCTTTGAAACTTGTAATAAAAAAAAAAAAACGTCTCCTGTAAAGGTAGTGTTGGTGGTTTGTGTCCCTTGGCTCCTAACAACGTGAACACAATGGCAGCCGCAGCTCTGGCTGCGCACAATTTGGGCTTTGAAAAAGTTCAAGGAGTTTTGGTGTCGGACCCAAGGTAGAAACACATCACCATTTACATTATAGTGTAATTTAGGAATGTTTAAGAGATTGAGTGAACAGCAGCTGCTCTCTTTGTGTCTTAAAAACTATCCTATCTCCAGATTTAATCATTTGTTATTTTGTTTCTACATTTATATAGCTGTATTAATGTAACCTATTGTAATAAGTTTGTCTTGTAGTTGTAAATGGCTGTCTGAGCTACTTCACTCTAAGGTCAATGCTAGTCAACAATCACAAAGAGGAGTGGCTCAACCAGGAAACACAGGCAGAGCCATGTACAAAGAAATGACTATGCCTAACAAACTAGACAGTATTAACTTCCTTCCCCGCAAAAAATAATCTACAATTTTCCAACTAAGAACTGGGCACACACCTCTGTTAAATTACCATCTGAACAAAATAAACGCCACACAACTCCCCCTTTATAGACACTGCGCGCACCCTTATGAAACCATAAACCATATCCTCTTTGAATGCCCCTTCCTAATCCACCTTAGGCAGACCCTACTTCCACTACAGCCCAACATAACCAACACCCTGTACGCAGTGCTGAATAACTGAAGAAAACAGCACACTTTTTTTCCTTGGCACAGTCTGCAAAAGAGCTGACAGCTCAGCAGAAATAAAGCTGGCTAGAAGAAGAAGAAGAAGAAAAATGGCTGTCTGACTTCCAACAGATTTACTCAGAAGATGTTTGAGTATCTTGTACGGGTGTTTTACTTGCAAATCTCGAACTAACAAAACAAAACTTATCACAAGAACAAGCAAAGCTTAATACGAAAAGACCACAGTTGGTTGTTTGTCTGTAATATGATGATGTCATCTTGAAACCCTAACACCAATTGATTAATATTAACATCAACAAGCTAAGCCCCACTATCTGTGATAACATAAATGTTGCGTTCAAGGTCCGTCATCGACTATGATGCTTTTTTATATTTAGCGCTGAACACTATTAATATGAAACAGGTTTTATTTGTTTTTTTAAGTGATAATAACTTGGTGTTGGGTATTATAATTATTTTACAGTAAAATAAACAAAAAAAAGTTCCAGTCTGTGTTTTGTTATTAAATACACAAACCTTAATTGTAATCTTTGAAAAGCATGTTTTTAATTTTAATTCTAGTTTTTAAATTAGGAAGTTTGTATGATTAAAAAATAGCTGAATAATACCCAAGACATGCATGACTAGATTTGACACATGGATATGCATTAGGACATAATTATCTTCTCATTTGTAACATTTGTAATTCATAAGATTAGATAAGATAATAGTTTCCTCACAATGTATTCTGAAAAATTTTCATGAAAATCATTATCTAAGTAGGAATATACCAACTTCTGGTGTATTATTCCTGAATTTTTATATGTAGCTTATTTCACAAAGCCAAGTTTACAAGCTAATGAATTAGTTCCATCAAGAATTTTGATTTTTTTTTGCTGGATGTCGCAATACGTACATCATTGCTCAATTCGCTTAATTAACCAGTTGAAAAGCTGCACTCTTCATTAAATATTCAAACTCAAAGACAATGCTTTATTATCAAGTAAGGTGTGTGCATACTTCTTTTCCAGTCCAGGTTTTATCTTTTTGTAATTTCAATCAGGATTCAGCTATTATAAGGGAAAATTGCCAGAGGTTTTCTTTTTTTAAGAAACAAACTTTTTGGTTGAGTTATTTCCCATTGTCCTTAAACATGTTTTTGAACTAAGAAAAGTTTAAGTAAATAGTTCAGTTTACAAGGAAATGTACTAGACTTAAAAAGTGAATGTTCTAGACTTAAAAAGGGAATGTTCTAGAATTAAAAGTGAATGTTCTAGAATTAAACTGAATGTTCTAGACTTCAAAGTAAATGTTCAAGACTTGAAAGTGAATGTTCTAGAGCTATTAATCTCTTTGGAAAACTCTGAATAATTCAGTTCTTAAGTAACTCATTTCTAAAATATTTGGTATTTTAATGTTTTAAACTTTTTCTGTTCTAATGTGTTTTTTAATTTCCACATTTCCAGTTTAACTAACTGGCATATTGTTGAGGTTGAGGTCTGGGGACCTGGAGATATAGAGGCTGACAAAACATTTTACTGCAAGACAGTTCGCCGCAATCCTGCAGCCTTAGGGGCAGTGACTGGTTCAGCAACATATGTTTCATTCCTCAGCAGTGTATTAGGTGAGGAACAAAGTTCTTTTTCAAATTAGAAATCTAAAGTTTCAGATTAGAGCAAATGTTTCGGTTAATTGTGATGTACACGTAAAAAAAAAAGATTTGCAAATGTTATGAACAATTTCTACTGAGTCTTAATGTCTGTCACTCCTAAAAAAATGCTGTTATGAAAAAGTAAAGTTCCTCTTTCAGACCTTGCGATCCTTAGGGCAGATGATGTTAAGGTCATCTGTTTTTTTGGGCCAATGGTTAATGAGCAGGGTGTCATGTTGCCAGCTCAACGACCAACCGCTTTTACTAATCCTTTCCCCAACTTCCCCAGGTATCCATTAGAGTTGGATAGACTCAAGGGTGACCTAAAAATCCAGAAATTTAATATCCCAGTCTTTACCAAGATTAGAATCCAGAACCTTAGGTTTGGAAGCGAAGAGCTTAACCACTCAGCTACTGCCCCCCCCCCCCCCCCCCCCCCTCCATTAAGAAATAGTCTTGTTGTTAAATTTGAATTGATTTAGCCATAATAAATGTGCATTTAAAGCTAAATGTATTGTGATAAAAAAAAATTATTTTATGAATGGCGTTTCTTTTAAAGATTACAGTATCATGAACTCATTTTATTTCCACAGGTGCTCATGGCAAAGGACCAGGTGTTCACTTATGTTAAAGAGACGCACAAATGGAGCCAGTAGCTGTAACTTGAAGAGACTTTTCTTGGCTTGAAAAGAGTTTGTGACAGGCTAAAGGTCTTCTGATGTTTTTCTTGGACCAATTCCTCCTTCAGATTTGCTACAGAGGTGATGGCTAATAACTAGCTTACAATGTCAATGTTCTGTACCTTGCATAAGATCATAGAGTATATTTGGGACTGGGTTGTCTACGTGCATGGTTGAGACAGGGCTGTCACAGGTTATAGGAGAACAAACATTGTGTTGACGCTGCTGTTATTGTTCTAGTCTTCCAGTTGTTCAGTGCCTACATTTTTATTGTGATCTTGTTCGGCAGAGTTTTATTTACTAGGATTAGCCATTGTTAATGTAATGTATATAAAGATATATTTACATTTGAGTCTACTTAACAAACTTCAGTTCTCCTTGTTTGTTGAACTTGACCCAAATACAGAAATCAATTACTGGGGACTTTCACAATGAACTAACCAATGTCAAGGACCTGAAATTTTACTGTTGCCTGACTAAAGAAAAAATTTGAAATACAAACAGAAAAGTTTTGCAGTGCTAAAAAAGTGCTCACAAATTATCATATACATTTTTTTTTTAAATTTAGCTTACCTAAACTTCCTTTATTTTGTACACCGGATACATCAAAAAAAACTTCATATTTATAGTTTTTTTCACCCATAGATGAAAATCTCTACTACCAGTACTGACATTTGAGACAATAAACTCTTAAAATGTCATTTTTCATTTCTTCATTTTTTTGTTTCTTTTTAAATATATTTAAAATTAACATTTCTAATTAAGTCTTAAAATTTTTCTTGAAAAAGACAGTGTATCAAAAAAACACAAAAAAAGCACATAATATTGATATAACTAAAGTAGTGACCTCTGAACTCAGAGTGTCTTGTCTTTTTTATGGTCTTCACTTCTCTCCTTGTTTATATTGTTTAAAACATTTTGTCTGGTCAGGAAAGTCACTTTTATTTTATAGTGCTATCTATCTTCTCTATCATTAGGTCATCTGTTTCCCTTGGCCAACAGTTATGAGCAGGGTGTCATGTGGCCAGCACAACGACTAACCAGCTTTCCCCCCCCCCCCCCCCCCCCAACTTAAGTCAAGCACCCATTAAAGTTGGATTGACTCACGGTTGTCCTTAACATTTTGAAATTCAAATTCCCAGTTTTCATCAAGATTTGAACCCAAGACCCCAGGTTCAGAAGCCAATTACTTAACCTCTCGGCCACCACACTCCTAAAAATCAGATGACCTTAACATCATTTGCCCTATTGATTTCAAGGTTTGAAAAGAAGAACGTATTTATTGCACAGACCCTACAAAATAGTTTTGTATTAAATACTTCATTTAATTCAATGCACATAATGCTAGATATAAAAGACTTCTCTTGTATTACTCAGAAATGTTTTAATTCTATTCTATACATATGAAAATAAACTCTCATTCATTTGAAACATGACTATTGTTAGTTGTATTTTTTTTTCGTTACCACTTTTGACATTGTTTAGTAATTTGTGGGTGACATTTCAGTGTTTTGATGTAAACCACACAAAGCTATGATGTAAACCACACAAAGCTATGATGCAAACCACACAAAGCTATGATGTAAACCACACAAAGCTATGATGCAAACCACACAAAGCTATGATGCAAACCACACAATGCTATGATGTAAACCACACAAAGCTATGATGCAAACCACACAATGCTATGATGTAAACCACACAAAACCTTAAACTGAAAAGCGCATACAAGTTTCTCTTCATTCAAAAGTGAAAGATAATTCTTAAGCAGTAACAAAAATGTCAAAAAAAAAACTTTTTTGAAACACCAGCATATAACTAGTAGTTTCCTACATTTCAAATGTATACAAACCTGTCACAATTCTTATTGTAAAACTCTGGTTTGATAGGAAACAGTTTTCTTTCTTTTTGTGGCATATAATTTACATAATAGGCATTTTGTATAGCTATGCACCATAGTTGACTGACTTAGAACTTAGAACACAGGATAGTGGAATATGGCTTGCTGATGTTAATATTAGTTTTTTGCTGTTATGACTTCAGGTTGACAACATCGTACTACGGACAAAGACTTACCTGTGGCTTTTACATATTAACATTCGTTCAAGTCATTCAACAGTCTGGACTTGCTCTTTGCTTGTTACTCTGATCGTGTTAGTCTGTTAAACTCGCAATAAGCTTTTCTGAAAGCGTTCAACATTGACCCAGCCACCTGGGAGACAGAAGCACATGACAGAGCATCATGGCGTCAAGCTGTAAAAAAAAATAAGGCGCAAAAAATTGCTGAGGATAAGAAAACAACGCTGGCAGAAAAGAAAAGCGTCAGAAAAAAAAAAAAGCAAGGCCAATGACAGTAGCTCCAGCTGGAATAACCTGCCCAGTCTGCAGCCGAAAAGTTCGGGCTCACATAGGAGCCACACGAGGAGGCACATAAGCCCATTGCAAAGCCCTCAGCCCCCTGGATGACAAAATTGGTCATCATCTAACCACAATGAACGAACTATATACTCGCAAGAAATGCACTCGTACAAGATACTCGGACATCTCCTGTGTCATTTGTGCAAGTCAGATAAAGGGCCTACATCTACAAGACAGACCTATTACAGTATTGGCATTGAAAGTGGTACATCCATTAAGCAGGATAAGAAGATTTATATTAAGGACAAAGTCTTATGTACGTTCATAGCATGTTTGTACTATACCAAACATATTTTGATGTCAGAACAAAGTAGGAAGGAACAAAGGCACATACCTCGTTCCATATGCTAGGACAAATTTGTACTAATGCTCCTTCTTCTCTAGCGCTATTATAGCGCTATAGCTATTATTGCCTGAGCTAGCCAGGAAAACCAGTGACTTGGCAGAATTTGAGTCATTGGTTAATATGCATGACGCGTAGGACGTAATCATCTTCTTTTTTGAAGTAACGTCTTTATTAGGCATATATAAGATAAGATAAAAAAAGTTTAGCAAAAGTCATCTGGATGGAATTAACTTTCTGGATTGCTCTTTCGCTAGTTTCAAGAAAGGAGGCACGGTGGCTGAGTGGTAAAGTGCTTGGCTTTCGAACTGGAGGTCCTGGATTCGAATCTCGTAGATTTTTTCAACTTTGGGATTTTTTGGGCGCCTCTAAATCCTCTCAGCTCAAATAGGTCCCAGGTTCGGAAGCCAAGCGCTGTACCACTCGGCCACCGCGCCTATTAAGAAGAAACGTCCAATATTCAGGTTATAACCTTTTGTACTATCATTTTCTCTCCCGGTTCAAAAAGTTTACACTTGTCTCCTCCTCCCCCACCCCGTTCAGGTCAAACTTGAATAGTAGGTCAACTGTGTAATCTCGAGCCTTTGCTACATGACCTGGTTTCAAATTTAGCCAATCATTCGATTATTAGCCCTATTTACATTAAAAGGCGAAATAAGTATTTTTCCACTGCATATGATAATGATAATATGGGCCAAGTCAAAGGAACTGCATTTAAGAGCTTTATAATTCATATGGGCCAAGTCAAAGGAACTGCATTTAGGAGATTTATAATTCATATGGGCCAAGTCAAAGGAACTGCACTTATGAGCTTTATAATGCGATATGGGCCAAGTCAAAGGAACTGCATTTAGGAGCTTTATAATTCATATGGGCCATGTCAAAGGAACTGCATCTAGGAGATTTATAATTCATATGGGCCAAGTCAAAGGAACTGCACTTAGGATCTTTATAATGCGATGTGGGCAGTGGGCCGAGTCCCAAAGAAATGCCTTTAGAGAAAAAAAAGCTTTGAATAACTTCTTCGCCTCTGAGCAAAGTGATTGGATTTAGCCTTAACCTTGAACTTGACTGGATATATTTATATATATATCGTGCCATTCAATGTCATGGAAAAAGACTGGAAGAAAATGGTACAAGGTACAATAGAAGCTTACGTACCTTCTTCAAAAGAGAGCTCAGAAATAAGGGCGTGGCCTAAGAGGACAAAGCAGCCGATAGATGCAGACACGTGACCAAACAATGGGACACCTCTCATGTTATTTATACGCTCTGATTAACTCAGGTGTTAACTATCTACATACCCCACTCATCCACTCCTCCCCCCTTTTTTTTCTCTCTGCTCTGTTAACCAGACAAAAAAAAAAAAGTAAAAATGGCTCCTCAGGGCGTGATCTCTCCCTTGGTCTACTAGTAAACGTCTTGGCAGCAGTAGTGTCCAAATACTAGCTCCTGATAATGACACCATGACGACACAGTTGTGACTGACAGTCATTAGAGGTGAACACACCCACCCCCGCCTCCTTGCATACCATCTAAATGTATGCATTATTTAGATGTCACGGATAACAACAAACTAGATTGCCTACTGTGCCATATGCTAGAAAAGGCCGAATAATATTTTGTAGATAATGTGGTGACACGGTCGTTGGACTATTGGCGGCTATAGCCACAGACATCTAGTCCAATCAAACCGTTGTTGACGTGTTATTATATTATGCTAATATACGAAACTTGAATTAAAACGTAAATAAAATTCTTTGTAAACAGAAATGAACTTAAAATTAATTGGCCATAATGCTATAAAGAGGCCTGGTGGCAGCGTGGGTAAGGAGCTTTGCTTCCGAACCGAGCGGTCAGTGTTCGAATCTCGGGTTTTCTTTTATTTAGGGATTTTTAGTGCAGATGAGCAAGACGTGGGGACAGTTGGGAAGACTCTCCCAGAACCGAGATGCCTGGAGGAAGCTGGTTGGTGGCCTATGACCCAGATGGGACCACAGGCAGAGATGAGATTAGATGATATAAAAGTTGACTACGAGTTTTCGCAATGCGGCTAAAGAGTTGAGAATTCTTTCTTATTACCTTGAAAATTTTAAGAAAAATGTTTTCGAAATAAAATGTACATATAACAAGAACTGCTCGCTTAAGAGTAAGAATTGTTTTAAAAGAATTCGTAAATTTTGAAGTGTAAAGTAGTTTGATTTATATATTACGTAATAGAAGCTGGACGGAGTGATGGCTATCACAACAAGTTTTAAATTGTCTAATGTTTTATTACACACGGTCGGATTTAAGCTTGTGGAGGCCCCTACACTTTTTTCGAAAGCTTTACTTACTAAAGATCCACTTATGAATGATAATACTTATATCTAAAAGCATCGCACACTTTAGAAGAAAGATATAGAATTTTTGTAATCTTGACTCTTATTATATATATAGTTCGTCCATCGTGGTTCGATGATGACCACTTTGTCATCCAGGGAGCTGAGGGCTTTGCACTGTGGGTTTTATGCCTCCTAATGTGGCTGGTGAGACCTATGTGAGCCCGGAATGTTCGGCCGCACACTGGGCAGGTTATTCCAGCTGGAGCTAGTGTCGTTTGCCTTGCTTTTCTTTTCTGGCGTTTTTCTTCTGCCAGCGTTGTTCTTTTTTCCTCAGCAACCTGTGCGCCTGTTTTCACAGCGCGACACCATGATGCTCTGTCATGTGCCTCTGTCTCCCAGGTGGCTAAGTCTATGCTGAGCGTCTTCAGAGAAGCTTTGAGGGTGTCCCTGAAGCGCTTTCTTTGACCTCCTCCTATCGTAGCTGGTTGTGTCCTAGTAAAAATATTTAGTATCTATATTTTAATTTTTTTAAAAGAGTATATTTTGAGTTTGTAAAATTTGCATATTACGAGCAGGCTACGAGCAGAGACTTCCTAATCACGACAGTGTTGCCAACTATTGCCAACCGACTTAAGATTTAAAGTGTTAGCGGTAGATAATAATAATAATAATAATAATAATAATAATTTTATTTATAAAGCGCTGTTAACAAACAAACTGTAGGCTCAAGGCGCTGTAATAACATTACAAACACAAACACAAGAGCTAACATGACAAACTAATCTAAAAAAGTTTTAAACAGATAGGTCTTAATGTTCTTCTTAAAAGTGGTGTAGCATGTTGTCTGTCTGAGATCAATGGGGAGTGAGTTCCAAACCTTTGGTCCGTGAACTGAAAAAGCCCGCAGACCGTAGCTTTTGATGGAGAAACGTGGCACTACTAAAAGCGTTGAGTCCATTGAGCGCAGGGCTCTCTGGGGGACATATAGAGTAATCAGTTCGCTAAGGTACAAGGGCATCTCGTTGTTATATATACACTGATGACAAAATTTGGCGTCCTTGTAATCGATTTTCGCTTTCACGGGAAGCCAATGGAGCGTGAGCAAGAGCGTAATAGCATAATCTTGTCTAGTTTTTTTAAGGACTATTAGAGCGGCGTTGTTCTGTATACGTTGCAGCTTGGCTATTTTGTCATCAGGTATACCTGCTAGCACGGCGTTGCAGTAGTCAAGACGGGAGAGTATGAATGCCACAGCTAGCGTTTTTGTTGACTCCGTTGTTAAATATGGTCGGATCTGGCCTAATTTGCGCAGCTGCAGATAAAGACTTTTGCAGAGCTGACTTATGT